TTTAAGATTGCTGTAACAGTGAGAAAAGTCAAAATAGCTCCTAGTAAAAGCATAGAAGCCTCTATATTAACCTCCCACAATAGCAACATTCCCAATCCAAAGTCCAGAAAAAACATACCTCTCCGAATTTACCATCCTGCAGTTCTGAATCCGCCTTGTAGCCAAGGGGTCTCCGCGGTGCTGGAGATGTTCATATGTTCCCGGGTTTCGGCACCATATGTCCCGCGCGCTCTGTATTTCTCGCCAGCAAGAAATCACACACGGGACACTCGGATCCTTCTGCAGACAAGCTTTAATGCATCTTGAGAGTGAAAGAGCATAAGCTTCCCAGAGCGGAGACATTGAACCAAGAAAACCATCCCTTATAAAGGCTGGCCAGCCGCCTGGGACGTGTTACCCTATGAATGGCTTCAGCTCCTCAGGCCAAAATGAGCCACGGGATAGGCAGAGATCAAAGGAATGGAAATTACCCAGCGCCTGTGAAGTAATTTACATCTTGGTGTCTTCAGGCACCTATTATTGTAATGGATAATGCAGGAACCGGCTTCCTACAATGGTGCCATTCATGGGTCTTACAACATGACCTAAAAATAAAACCTCTTAAAGTCCCATTGTATTTTATCAGATATATATTTTCTAGTACTATTTATCAAACTGGTTTTTTATGCCCATATAATTATGCTTTTTTTCTGGGTTGGGGGGGGTGTTGATGGCTACTTTGGAACCTGCTTTGTAGACCAGGCTGGCCTTAATCTCAGAGATCCACCTGCCTCTGCTTCCCTAGTGTGGTGGGCACCACCACACCCAGCTTATAAATATGCTTTTAACTACTGGGAAATTAATATCTGTTATTGAAATAGATAATTTTATCAGAGAAAATGAAGTCTTCAGTCTTTAGTAAACATATTGGCTCATGGGGTAAGTACCTGTGAAATATCTGCTTATGTGCTAGTCTTTGCTCCAGTGTTAGAACGGAGCGGTGAGGACAGACATCCCTGCCTTCAGAAAGCACCTGTGCCAGTTTGGAAGAGATAATGAGTTAACATTGAAAGAAGCAGGCCAGGGAGAATAATGTGGGAAACAAGACAGGAAAACCATCCTGAGCAGAGGATATTTGAGCCACTGGATGCAGAGGAGGCTCCCACATGGCACACACACACATGTCAGATACCTGTTAGGCACACACAGCTGGATAGAGAAACTTGTACATCAAGATGGGAATATGGAGTCTAGAAATTTCAAATATGTCAGTGTTTTTAATGCTCTAGAAGTGACTAGAATCAACCTGGAAGGGGTTGTCTGGACAGAGATGAGAGTTCAGGGCCATAGCCTAGGATGCATAAATATTTTTGCAGAGGATCCAGGAGAACTTATGATCAGAACAGTGAGAGAAGTGTTTGAATTGGGGAGGAGTGATGGTTGCCCCAGCGCAGTATGAACTGAGCTCAGTTCTGAAGCAAACAAGTGACTCTTTAGTTTGGAAACATTGGCATCATTCATGACCTGGATGAGAGTGCCTTCTGTGGCGACTTAGGAAAGGTGCCACTTCTAGCAGATTGAGATCAGTTAAGGAATAGAGTATATTTTGGCATCCCATGGATCAAAGGGACTTTCTGTTGGTGGTTGTATTTTGGTTTATTTGCTTTTATTTATTTTAAATTGGCATATACCAGTATGTTTCTATTTTGATTTCTGTGATCCATTGTGAAGAAATTAGTGTTAAAACAGTGTTAAGTGTCCTATACTTCCCTTAACATATTTGTAATCCTTGATCTTTCGCTCGAGATATAGTGGCTGATACAGATAAACATTTGGATGAGATGTTTTCATATATCATTTGTAATTATGCAAAATATAATTTAAATCAGAGAGAAACTCATATTTAATATTGCTTTTTAACCTGAGGGAACTATGTGCTCTTTAAAACCCCACTATAGATCCCCAATATAAATGCTTTCTCAAAACAGAATCATACCATGTCAATGTCTCAGCTGAATGGATACAGCTGTCATTCACTTCCTGTACAAAGAAGTGGAAAATAAATTGTGGGTCCATGCAAGCAGGTTCTTCAGGCTGAGCCCAAGGGCTTCTCCAAAAAATGGAAGTGAGGCTCTGATGTCTGTCTGTAAGCCGCCATTGATGCAGGATAGTTCCCTGCATGTGGAAACAATCCATTTCTGTTTCATTTATTCTTTACTCATGAAGAAATGCTTGTCTACAGTTTTTATGTCTGCCTCCCATTCAAGAAGGATCTTGATTATCTGAAATAAAGATTATGAAGGTGGTTTTGATGTAATTTCCTAAAGAATGTGGACATTTTGTTTTCAAGAACTTGCAGATAGGTAATGGAATTAGATGAGAATGCTGTCCCCTTAACTGTTAGAAATACTCTGATTCTGTTTCTCTGATTCTGTTTCTCTCTCCCTTTCCCTCCCTCCTCCCTCCCCTCCCCCTTTCTTCTTGCAGAAGGCTCATACACATAAAGTAGCTTGTTGAAGCAACCATTTTGCCATTGTCCTTTTCACAACACGAAATTAAAGAATGAAAAGGAACTTGAATGTTGCATTTCTGTCCCACAAGTGACCACCTTGAGGGCAGTCTGCCATCTGCTTTTAAAGCAGTGCCTTCCTATTGCTCACTTTGGTTGAGTAGACTTTTTCTCTTCCACCTTTATTACAGGCTGCTTTTATTAAAAGACAGAAAGTAAATAGATAATGGTGTCTGTAGGGTAGACCATTACATTTCTGTCATCTTTCCTAGGCACACCACTCACAAGTGTATGCCCTTTGTGAGAGAGCACAAGGTGTCTTTTTCTTGGGGAACCACCAGGGGGAGTTAATCTTTCTGCTCAGGACAGAGGGCAGCTTGGTGATGATAAATCCTTTTAGCTTGTATCTGGATGTACTGTTCACTTAGGAAAGAAACACCTCATTGATAAGAATATTCTTCTAGACTTTCAACAGAGTTGTCATTTGACCAACATTATTTATACACAAGGCTCTACATCATAACTCTGGTGAAGGTTTGCATTGCTGGGTTTTCTAGAATAATAAAGAAAACCTCCTGATTTCTCTCTTGAGTAGATGTTTTAACTTTTTAGTAATGAGGGGAGTGGAGCTCATTTCTATGAACAATGTTGAATAAACCCAAGAATATACAGCTCAAATGATGTAGAGCTCATGACCAACATATATATATTCCAGAGTTCTATTATATAATTGACACACTATTTAGTGGTTACTTGTGCAATTCATTGGCTTTTTGTCTAAATTAAGTTCTTAAGGCTTTTTTAATCATGGAGTTTTTCCTTCTTTTTCCCCCAGAAAGAACTAGAGAAACAGAAGAGAATCAAGAGAAATCAAGAGTTGGAAGCAGTAGCCAAAGATCATTATGAAAAGGTCTTGCTAAGGAAAAAAGGCCTGGAGCCCTGGAAGAGACTGAGAATGCAAAGCAAGCAAAGCACTGAGGTGTGCCATCGTGGTATCAACCCCCAAATTAGAAAGTAGGCCTTTCACGGACAGCACGAACACCATGAAAGTCAGGCTTTAGGGTGGAGGGAATGTAGTGCTTTTAAAAGCCAGAAAGAGAACTGCCTTGAGGATGTGTATTTCTCTGTTGTGAATAACAGTGTAGATTTGGCTATCTAAATACTTGTAATTTAGCAGGTTTTGGAAATTAGAATGATTTTATTAGAGATCACCACTACAGAAGGAATAGAGGTAACTCTCAATTTTAGCATGGTTTACAACTGAGAGAAATAAGGGTGGCTGGGTCTCTGCCACAGACAACCCCAAAATCTCAGTGCATTGCAACTCATTCTTATTTCTCAGGAATCTGGAGGCCAGTTGTAGCTTTGGTCCCAGTCTCTCCCCAACCCGAGTCACTGGATCCAGAGCTACTCAGGTTGTGCCTTCCACCTAGCAATTAACTAGCAGATGGACCAAGCCTGTTGTGAACTCTGCTATCCATCATCAGGACCTTGCTCTGGAGTCCTTGACTCCAAGGTCCTTGTGATCTCCATCGGAATAGAGTGTACAGTAGAACATGGGTGAAGTTCATTGCAGAATGAAATGGAGAACACCCATCCACCCCCAGGGTGGGTGTGTAGAGTGACCAAAGAGACTACACTGTCCCAATTCACTCTTTTGTTTTTGTTTGATTTTCGAGGCTGGGTTTCTCTGTGTAGCTTTGAAGCCTGCCCTGGAACTTGCTCTGGAGACCAGGCTGGCCTCGAATTCATAGAGATCCACCTGCCTCTGCCTCCCAAGTGCTGGGATTAAAGGCGTGCGCCACCACTGCCCAGCCCCACTTCACATTTTAAGGCAGAATTCTATTTCTAAAGTGTGTAGAAAAGGCAGCTTTTCTTGAGGAACTTGGTCTGTCCAGTTGAGTGACACACCCAGTTGTATGACTCAGCTTCAAGAAGGCAGTGGTATATCTTTGTTCTTTTAGACAGCCTCCAAGTAGATTGTAGTCTTGGAAAGTTAGAAGTTAGGTATCAGGCCTGGAGAGGCGGCTCACTGGTTGAGTGCTTGCTGCTCTTGCAGAGAACCAGAGCTCATTTCCTAGCACCCTTGAGTGCTCTCAACAGGCTGTTTTTTCAGGCTCCAAGGAATCTAATGCCTTCTTCTGGCCTCTGTGAACCTCTACATATATAGACACATAATGAAAATAAATTTTAGACAACTTTTTTTTATTAGTGACATTCTGGTGCTTTGAAATGTCATGTCTCTTCCCAGGGCAGGGAGTATATTCAGATCCCATTCTTTTGAGTGGTAATCAGCCCCATAGCTCTAGGTCATGGTTTTGTAAGCTGTGCCTTGTGAGGTAGAAAGTCTATTCCCAGTGTCCTCCAGGCTGCTAATCTACCTGCCAAACACTCCCACCAATATTTCATCAAACAGAACAATCACAAGGTCAGGCTCAAGGTCACTAAGGGATGAAGCTCCATCTACTCCATCGGGAGGTGCTGTGAAATTGCATTGTAAAGAGTACATAATGCTGCTACAGAGAACAGCAAACTGCTCTGCTACAGGGATACCTGAAATCCAACATCAATGAAATGTTTCAATTCCCCTGACAAATTTACCCACCACATAAAACAGGGCATTCAAGTTAGTGATCAAGAAGTTCAAAACCAGATGGAATGTTGTTCGGCCTTTAGCTGCCAAGTTTGGTATGTCCCAGAGCTCCCGTGATGGCCGTTCTGGCCAGTAAATATGACTTCCAGGAGATCTGCTTGGATGAAGCATGTTCACAGTGCTGGGTGGTTAGATGAGACCTAGGGAAATGTGTCACTGTCTAGAGAGGTCTACAAAGAGAAGGGTCTTTTTCTTCTGTCAAAGGAACATGACAGTCTCTTTTTCATACATAAAAGCTGAGTTGTGTTTATTTGGGATGAGACTCTCAGCCATTTAAATTGGTGAGACATTAAAATATTCATCATGCTATTTTTGAATCAATGGTTTTGAGGTTTATTGATAATGTCTAAATTTCAATCCTGGTGACAGTTCATTCTACAAAACTAATTGAAAGTATTGGCATTTCCTCAATTAGACAGTGGTTAAGTACATAATAAAGAGCCGTCTGTTATGGAATTGCTGTCCAGGTTCCAGGAGAGCAAACTAAGAGCACTGCCAGCCACCCAGTCTGAAGGTTAGTGGGCATGAAGTGATGTCGTAGAAGCTGCTTATTCCATTTCCATAAGGAGCCAGTGTCTGTGACCTCAGTGAGTCAGCGCTGAAAGAGCATGTATGTGAATCTGCGAGCTCCACAGAACAAGGCCAGTTGCCAGTCTTTTAGACATAGACTATAGGCAACTCAAGATTATTCTTGTCCAGTAACTATCTTAAACCTGCTATATGGTATCATTTCCCTAGTTATGTATGTTTCCTTAAGTGATTTAAAATTTAAGGAATAACTTCCTCTTTTCATTAAAACATTTTCCAGGTAGCAGAAGAACATCACTGTTTGGCACTACAAAGAAAATGCCTGCTCAGTTGGTTCCGGTATAGCCAGGAAACTCTGGCTACGAGGACAGCCCAGGCTGATCAGTTGTATTCCCAACTATTGTGTAGAAGAGTCTTCCAAAGCTGGCTCCAGGTAAGCCACACAGAAAGGACTTGAGTGCATCTCCTTGAGCCATGTGTGATGACACATACCTATGATCTCAGCACTTGGGAAGCTGAGGCAGGAAGACTGCCATGAATTCATGGCTAGTCTAGAGAGTATATAGTGAGACCTTGCCTCAGAAAAGCAAAACTAAATACATCTCCCTGCTCAACTCCCCATGAACAACAACAAAAACCTAAATGACCTTCATAATGCCATATTCGTTGGTTTTTCAAAAACATAGAGCCATGAATCCAGTTCATTCCTTTATACTAACTTTGGTTAGTATAAAATCTCAAGCACACGTCATTTTCCCCATAAAGTGGATGTGTTTATATTGTAATGAGTCCTTACTTCAGCTTTTGTTTTTTATAGTCCTTGGTTTTTCTTGTCACACAGTACTTAGGTTGATTTTGGAAACCTCTCCTGTCAACCTTACACCTGACTGTGCTCCTGAATTGCTGTTATTGTTATAGTATGTTGCGGAAGATATTATCTTGACTGCCTTGTTAGCTTTCAGCCTTTTGCATCGTTTATTATTTGGCTGTGTGTGTCTGTTTTGGTTCTTGTCATTTGTTTTTTTTACTTACTCTACTTGTCTGCTGATATTATTTGTCTCACTACACCCACTAGTATGTCAGTGATGTGGAGAAAGAAGCAAGAAAACTCTGTGTCTACTTCCTGCAGAAGAAGTTTTTCAGGGCCTGGCTTACCATGGTCAGGGATCTGAAGACTGAATCCCAGAGAAAACTTGCGATTGCAGCAGAACATTGTGACAGGTAAGGCTTCAAGCTCTCAAGCTCACTGACTACCCAGTTGCCTGTAACACATTCTACTGCTGCACTGTGAAATGATGAGGTGGAGGCTAGGAGAGCTAGGCTCTCCTGACTCACATGGGTGAGAGCATCACAGGAAACCAACTTTAAAATGATGAGGAAGCCTGTCCTATCCACCTACAGGCTGGCAGGGACCAAATGTGAACTTCATGGGACATATCTGAGCAAATATGTTCCTTATTAGTCACCAGGGTTTAATTTTTTTTAATTTTTAGTGTGTGTATATGTGAGTGAGAGAGACAGAGAAAGAGACTATGCAAATGTGAATGTACCACATGCATGCCTGGTGTCCACAGAGGTCAGAAGAGGCATAGGATCCCCTGGAACTGGAGTTAGAGGTGCTTATGAGCCACCATGTGAGTGCTAGAAACCAAACACAGGTCCTCTAAGAGCAACAAGTACCCTTAGCACAGAGTTTTATTTTTAAATTTGACTTCTTAATGTGAAATACACCACAAAATTTTAAAGTGTATAAACCAAATGAAGATAGTAATTTCTAGACACCCGTGTCACCACAACTGAGGTCAAAGTAGAACCTCACTGTCCCATAGGCCCCTTCCTAATCAAAGTCCCTCCTACAGCTAAAGAAATCTACTGATTTGTACAGTGACCATATCCTTGCTCCCCTCCTAAGCATGGAGCCTTCAACACTTCAGTGTAGTTTTTCCTTGGTTTGAATTCTGTGTATAGATGTGGTATTACTAGTTAATGTTTAAAATGCAATTTGGTCTTATTTATGGAAAGATAATGTAGTCTCTCACACAAATATCTTATAAATGAGTAGGCGTTTATTCTCTGACTTTAGAATTTCTCTAAGCATTTGTACAGAAATGTTCCAAGAGTAGATAGGAAAACCCTTTTTGCTGGTCAAGTGTCACTCCTGGGAAGCACAGTTAATGTAGTGGGTATTTGCAGCAATACCTGAGATGGGGATGCTTGTGAGGGGTGGGGTTGCCCTCTCCTCCCCACCTCACAATCAGCTTTGGATGCTTTGTTTTCACTGTGTATATGCACATCTCTTGCATATCTTGTTATACCAGGACATTCACTCCTACCAAAAACTGTTTGTTCTCAATGTATAGTTATTGGAATCAGTGGGCTGGGAACAGACTAACAAGTGTATTATAATTTGGTCTAAATAAAGGTAACTATGTAATAAATGACAGTATTCGGGGGACTTACCTTTGAATAAGTGCATCAGCTTTAGAGGAAGGCTAGGATTCGGTATCTATGTGACTCTGGATTCATAACCTTTTGAGTCTTCCATCATGGGGCCAGCGAGATGGCCTAGTGGGTAAAGGTGCCTGCCACCAAGCCTGATGACCCCAGTTCAATATGTGTCCTCTAACCTCAATACTCACACTGTGGCATGTGCAAACCCACGTACAGACACATAATGCACAATAAATAAATAAATAAATAAATAAATAAATAAATAAATGGAATATAATAAAAGATAATTTTTTAAAAAATCTTTAAAATAAGTAAGAACAGACTTTACCTTCTGGGCTGTTGTGAAGACTGAACAAGGAAACAGTAATGTATTAATGCACTGCTGAGCCTAAATCATAACTGGTGTGATCTGAGTTTTGTGCCACTGTGAATATGACACATTCAGCCTCCTTTCATCTGCCTCAGTTGTCTTCCTCAGCCTGAAGATTAACTTGGAGTTTTCACACAAACCATGTCTTAGGTAATGATCCTGGGGGAGTAATGTCATGATTTCACTTCTAACAAGGGAACAGCACGTACTCCCAAGCAGGCAGCTTACTGGACTCTGCACGGGCTTTTCTTGCTCTAAATCTTGCTCTTGACACACCTCCCTTCTCGTTTTCCTTACTGTCACTTATAAGCTGTAAGGCACAATAGCAAGACAGTGTTCCTTTTCAGGGTTTGAAGTGTGGAATCAGTATGGGAAAACTATGGAATCAACATGAGTCCATGTGTTTGGTATAGAGACACTACTATGACTGGGTCTCTTTCCCATGTTGTTCCTTGTTCCTGGTTGCTCTGCCCCTCAGAGACACAAAGTCCACCTCAACCTAAGGGCAAACACACATTATCTCATCCTTCACGTCATTCAGCTCTGCTCAGATGTCATCCTCTGACCAGCAGTCGGCCTCAGTGTTTCTGTCCATTCTTTTGCTCTCTTTTATTTCCCTAGATCAAGCAGAGATTTCAGGGGGGCAGAATAGGAGGAGCCACAGTGTAAGCATCAAAAAGCCTGGAATATAGTTGGGAGAGGAGCTTTAAATAGCCGGTGAGGGAGGGAGGCAGAGTCAAGTCAAGCCTGGGATGGGCCCTAGTGATGACCACAGGAGTCCTTCAGTGGTGGGCTGAGTAGATACTCTTGGGTGGGACCTTGTTTTTCCAAAACATCAACCAACCAACAGCCGTAAAATTAATGACTGAGGTGCATCCTGGGGCTTCCTTAACTAGCTAAGAGGCCAGAATAAATATCATCACTGCCTCTAGTTTTACAAATAGCCTTGGGAACCTTGTGCTTATGTTCCAACCTATAGCTTGTGACTGACTCCTCACCTTTACTCAAGGCCTGCCCTCTTCAGGAGTAGCCACTGCAGTTCACCTGTAATGCCTTTCAACACCTCAGATGCTCCTCACCCTGAGACTGGGCAGTGCCTCTGCTTCTCCACCATTGTCCCTTCCCACAGCTCTGACTAAGGCTAGCTGTTTAACTGGGCAGAGACTATTAGGCCTCACCACAGTATCCCTAGTGCTCAGCTTGTTTAGGTACTGGACAGTCCTTAAAAGGCATGCATGCTTCCCAAATACAGCACTCCGTGTCAACATGTGAACACCCCCACACACCCATCCGAACACCTCCTTTCCAAACTTGGTATTAGCATATCTTTTCTAGATGCTTTCTCTTGTAGTTGGGGGTGCGCTTACCAGTCAAGCTTTAAATTATGTGAGCACCGAGCCCTGGGTGCCCTAAATGAGTGCTTCTGGATACAGTTTTTATCTTGATGGCTGTCTGCCCAAGCCTGTCAGAATTCCTGGTCCTGCTTGGTCAGTGTGCAGGCTGTGACCAGATCAACTGAGAAATACCAAAGCCTGCATTATCAGCTCAGGGTTCTAGGTGCAAATGTCAACTTACTGCAGAATCCCCATCTGTTTTTTTTTTTTTTAAATAGCATTGTATACTGTCAGGATTCCCATTGATTTCCACCTCTCTCTCCCTTTTACTCTTAAAGGAAGATTCTCAGTGTCATGATTCAGGCATGGAAGGCATTTGTAAAGCTTACAAAAGAAGAAAGGGTGAGAGAAGAACGGCGAGGGCAACTCCGTCGGAAGGTTGCCGACATCCTTCCAGACTTCCAGGCGCTGACACCATTGTGACAGCTACGGGCTGCATACCAATAGCTACATGCTTGTCCTCAGGGAAGTCTTTGGGGCCAGGATTTATGCAGGTTATCGCACCCACACACCTACCTGAACCTAGCTTACTTTCTAGAAGCATCACTGACCAGTGGAATTATCCTGGGAATTTGTTCTTCTTTCTTGATCTCTCCTGGGTTGTTAGGCATTTGTTGTAATGTCTATCACAGTGGGTCATCCAAAGGAGCAGTCCAGAGTACCACTGTTTGGTGTATTTTATATATTTTTAGCATAATAAACTCCAAAAAGGACGAGTGTGTGCCTGCCTGGACTTGTGAAGGAAGATGTTTCCTTATCACTTACTGTGAAATGCTGGTAAGTGTGACACTGGATAAAAACAGAGCAGTGAGTACCTAGAAAAGAAGGGATGGGCGGGTCTGTGTTCTTCGACCACAGCATGAGTGACAGGTGCCGGACAGGGCCCATCCCACCCAATGGCAAGTACAATTAAAAGGTACCCTATACAGCTGCAGCAGAGTGCAGCAACTCATCCTGATTTCAGAGCACCTTGATGAGCATGAAGGAAACTCCAAACGCTAATAACAGCTCCAGCAGGGACCATCCAGCCCCTCATCAAAATGCCCAGCCGTGCTCCTGACTGCAGCTTCTAAGTAATCCATCTGCTTTGTCTGCTTGGCCTGGCAACTTACACTGAATTCAAAGAATGTTCTAATATTTGGGATTCTATAGAGATTGATCAAATGTTCCCTTCTGTGAACTTTTACACAGAATCATCTGCTAGGAATTTTTTTCATTATAAAACATATCTTTACTGTGACAGATCCAAATAGTCTACAGATGCACACAGTAAAATGAGAACAATCATGGTAACCCAGAACAGCTGAACTGGTAAACTGTCTGAGTGAAATGTGCTTGATCCAGAATAGTTCTTAAGCTACCTGGCCGCACTCCATGCCATGACCTTAGTCCTTTTCTCATGCAAGATGTGGAGTGGTGGGCTGAGAGACAAGAGAACACCAGAACTGAACTGCAGCCCAGCCACACCTTTCTCGCAAACAGCATCATACAGTTGCCATCTAAAAACACAAGTGTTTAAGAGCAATGGCCACAAGAAAAATAGGACTAAAATCATATTTAATATCATTCCATCTAAACCACTGTTTATGCTTGATTATAGCCCAGTTAAATATTGGCCATTAACAACTAAAAACAAATCAAAATCATACACAAATATTAATAATAAGCCTGCAGAAAAGGGTGAATTTCTTCAGTAAGCATGTCCTAAATAAGTCATATAAAAATTAAGTTTTCTATCTTAATCTTTGCTTCACCGCAAGCACCAACCAGAAATTGCTTCTTTGGGACACGTATATGGATGGGGTCATAGTGCCATCTTATAGGCCCTCTGCATGATCAGAGTCTTGATGGGCCATGGCGAAGATGTGGTCTGAAACATGACTGCTAACTAGTGCCTGAATAAACAGTATCTGATCTACAAAACCAGGGAGGAAACGAGGGAGATGAAGTTTAGGGTCAGCGCATAGCCTTGGGATGGGGATGAAGAGATGGTCAGGAGGCCACACAGCTTAGGGTTTTCTTAAGGTGAAACACTTTCAGGACACACCAAGAATCGCTGACAACTGTTTCTGTAAAGAAAGCACTTTATTTTCCTTTTAGACAACTTGTCACAGGACATTATTTTGCACAAATGGCAGTAGTTGGTAAAATCTCCATTTAAAAGGCCTTGTATCTGAGTCTGAGGTGATAGGATGTGGATACAGGTATAAAAAGAGTGCAAACTGTCCAGCCCTCAGCCTCCAGCTTGGCTTGAGGAATCCCACTTCACGCTGTTGGGCCATCCATATTAAATACTGACTACAGAAATTCATTCCTGGGTTTCACTTAGTCTAACATCAGACCCCCAAATTAATCAAATGGCATGGCCCCAAAGCCCTAGCATCATCAAATCACCAGACCCTGGCACCACAACTAGAGCTTGCTGCTCATACATAGCATCTTATCAATGGCTTTTCCTACATAGCATCTTGTCAATGGCTTTTCCGAAAAAAAAAAAAAAAACCCAAAATTTTATTTGTATCATTAGAACAGTTTATCTCTGCCTTTAAAGCTTTGCCTTTTAAATATGAATTTCTAAAGGTGAAAAGTGCCCCAGGAAGGCTCCAGTAACAATAAAATCACAAGCCCAACGTGGGGCAAACAGCATGCTCTGCTCACCGTTCAGCCTGCGGCCCTACAGTGAACTGCTTAGAGCCAGTTCAAGCGTTGCTGACTGACCACCAGCATCTGGACTCAGTTCAGCTGCTTCTTCAGAACAGTTACACAAATCTCAGCAGCCAAGAACATTGCTTCATTTGCTCTTCAGTTAACATGGTTTTCATTCTTGCCCCCATGACCTCTGCACGGTTAATAGGAAACAGTTCACCTGCCAAACTGCTGCCAAGCAAACCAAGTTCCAAGCAGATGCCTCCAGCGCACAATTCACATCCACTACTTGTTTGGAATAAAGTTTCCTTTTTGAAAGGCAGGGTACCAAAATATGGCTAACTGGAAGTGAAGTCATAGAAACCTACTTAGCTAGTTTAAAGAGGTGAGTGAGTGCACAGAGCGTACTTCTTCAACTTCGTGGGTAAAGCTGTGTGTGCATCTACAAGCTTTCACTTTTGTCTACTGAGCTTTATATAAAAAGCTGATGTCCTACCAAAGGAAGTGAGTCTGTCAGGCAGATACCAGTATCACACAGGCTCTTACTGGCATTGTGTTTCCTGGCAGTGGTAGATTCTAGTATACAAAGTTTTCTCTTGCTAAAAATATTAGAAGTCAAGGACTATTGCATAAGAGAAAGTTTATGGCAATCTTCCTTCTAGGCAGATGGCACAGTATACCACAATCAATGCATTCACCAAAGGAAAAGACCACTTGGAGAGCAGGGGTTTGTAATATCCTCAACAACTGTGGCTGAAGAAACAAATAGCACTATCCCCAAAACACACTGAAGGCTTCAGTTTAGCAGCGTTCAGGGTAGCCTGCCAACGAGGTGGTAAGCTTTTGCAAGTTCCTAAGAAACATTTCCACTAATGAAGGAATTTCTCCCTTCCTTCAGTCTTGATCCTCCGTGCTTTTCCCTTGACTCTTTCAGGCAGGCACACTGTTCTTTGCTGGGAATGTACACGATAATGTGGTAGTAACGTAAGGAATCAGGACAGAATGGGACTTTATGAAGCTTGAGAGAGAGGCCAAGAGAGAGAACCTGCTTATCTGAAGTCACATTTCTGGGGAGCACTTGCTTCCATGGTCTAGTGCCTGATGGCTTATCCACACTGGATATTTGGGACAGCCCTTTCACAAAAGCCTGGCTCTTTTTTATTGTAGTTGGTTGGTTAGGTTTTTGGGGTTTTTTTTGTTTGTTTGTTTGTTTTTTGTTTTTTTTTGTTTTTGTAAGACAGGCCTTCTCTGTGTAGCTCTAGCTATCCTAGAACTCTGTAGACAAGGCTGGCCTTTAACACCAAGATCCACTTGCCTCTGCCTCCCAAGTGCTGAGATTAAAGGCATGCACCACCACCACCCCTGGCAAGGCCTTGACCTTTTAAAGACTCTAGTTAAACCTTTTATCACCTGGAGAATATCAAGGCCTACAACAAAATCCCACAAACAACTGGAGATCATAAGAAAGCTCAAAAGTCCAGGAATATATGCGAAAGATATCCTGGGGCCTAGCAGAGGCTGCTTGTGGCTGACCCCTGGTTTACTATCTCCTAGAAACACGCCCTTAAAAGGCAAATGTGCATTTCCTGTTTCCCCTCTATGAAGCAAGAAGGCCAAGGAAAATTTAAGGTCTCACAAATTGTCTTTGATCTTTGGGATCCCAGAACAGTACAAGTGTAAAAACCAAACCATGAAGAGGGAGTTTTCCCACCTCCAGGGCAGGGCAGAAGGACGGCCCATTCTGTAGAACTCAAGTCTTTCCTAAGCCACAGTTGGGAGACACAAGGGAACAATTCAGTATTGGGAAGAGCTAGAAAGCAGTAATGAGTACACTATTGGAAAGCCATGTACCCTGTTCTCCTCTCCTAGACACACTTCAGTAGGGAGGTGAACGAGAAGGCTGAAAGATCCACAAAACAAGGATCTTCTTACAGGTTTACCTTTCCCCTGTAAGCCACCAATCAGTTATCCAAACCTAAGCTTCAGGACTGGAGACATGACTCAGCAGTTAAGAACACATGCTGCTCTTCCAGAGGACCCAAGTTCAGTTCTCAGCACTCATGGCAGGTGGCTCATGGATGCCTGTAACTCCAGCTCCATGGAGCTCTTCTGGCCTCCACATACAAACACACGCACATGCACACTTACACACATACACACATAAATAAAAAGAAGAAACAAGCTTCTTCATTCCAATGAGCCACAGAGCTGACAAGGAGTTCCCCCATCCACATGAGGGGTACTGACCCTTGAGTGGCAAACTCTGAGAATGGCAGTGGTCATTCCTAATTGTCTCAGTGACAGGTTTCAGTGTAACGTTCATCATCACGTCACATGTGCACTGCTGCAGAAGATAAGGGAGACTACAAGTACTGACTACAGTTTCTATAAATGTTAGCAGCAGCTAGACGTTCAGAGTTGGCTACATACCTGGCATTCAAGAGACATGAAAACTACCAATTTCTGCCCACATATGCTGTCTGACATTACTACCATCTCTCTTACCTAAAACCCACACAGAAATTAGTTGCATCCTAGCCAACTTTCATTCTAAATGAACATTTAACTCTAGGCCAGGGACAGGCGTGGCTGAAGAGACTGCAAATACCCCCAGGCGCTCTCTGGCCAACCCCAGTAGAATATGGAGTTTATTGTTGGTTAAACAATACATCCCTGGGGGAGAGCAATGACAAAACTGTATGAAAATGTGGCACCTGTCTTCAGGAGAGCCCTGGCTAATGGCAAGTCTAAGGGTGGCACTTGGTGCAAAGGGCAGGCAGGACTAACTGCAGAGGGTGTGGTATTTCCTCTCAATGCTTGGGAGCAGGCACAAGACTTGGGGAAATACAGCACTGTTTCCCCTCTATGATGCAAGAAGGCCAAGGTAAAGTCTCACAAATTATCTTTGATCTTTGGGATCCCAGAACAGTGCATGTGTAAAAACCAAACCATCAAGAGGGAGTTTTCCTTCTATGAATCTCCCACCTTCAGGGCAGGGCAGAAAGACGGCCCATTCTGCAGAACTACATAGTCTTTCCTAAGCCTCAGTTGAGAGACACAAGGGAACAATTCAGTATTGGGAAGAGCTAGAAAGCAGTAATGAGTACACTATTGGAAAGCCATGTACCCTGTTCTTCTCTCCTAGACACACTTGAGTAGGGAGGTGAACGAGAAGCAAAGTGGATGTGGAGAGGTGTCAGTCACCCAGAGAGTTCATGCCAGACGCATGTTCCATTTTGTGCTAGAAACCTACAGCACTAGAAATACATGAACAATAATAAAAAATCAAGCCCTTGATATTACTCCCTAGCCAGGAAAGAGGGTAAAACGTTCTCATAGGACAGTCTCCTCCCCTTCCAGCCACCATCACACACCAGTGTGTTAGCACCTCACCAGGTGAAATGTGGAAGGAGGAAGAACAAACATTAATGTTAGGATCATAATAAATCTAAAATGATACGTTAACAAATAAATAGTTGTCACTTAAATTTCTGCCCACTATACACTGCATGGATAGTGATTATCACTTTCATCAGCTATCCTTCTCAAGACGAGATGACCAGCATCTTCTTGTCACCTCTGATCTGTGAGAACAAGGTCTAACATGTAAGGGGAAGTTCTATAACTATACAAACTGATTGTCTTAATATTGGCTTCAACATTGTCATCTACAAGCAGTCTGCTTCAGTCGTGGGGATTTCCTAAGAACGCTCGAGTTGGACCGGAGTCTTTCCACGGTCTTCCTCAGGTGGCCCTCATGGCTGCTCCGTGAGGTAGCCAGGCAGCAGAAGCCCCCATACAGATGAACCTGAGACTTGGGAAAGTGACTCTACCACGGGTCATATGGCTATTAAGAATTGAAAGGAGGACTAGGAACTATCCTATTAACTAACACTCTTCCTCACATGAACGGACAGAAACTCCTCCTCTGGCCTGGGCAGGAGTAATCAGCCACCTCCTTGCAGCTTCTGGTGACTGAGTCAGCAAGGTGGCTGGAAAGGAATGGCTCTACTCTTGTAACCTCAGTATTAAAATCCTTAAGTTATAAAGTCAGCAGAAAAATTCCTTTTTCTTCAGTCCTTCCTTCAAACCTGAGCATGGCCCTCCAGCACTTCTGAGAAGAGGGCAATGAAGATGAATCCTGCCTGCATGGACACTGAAGTGTGAAATGGATAGGACAGAGAAAGCGCGTCCCTCAAAGCGGCACGGAAGGCACTTCAGACAATGTCCTCAGCAGGGATGTGGGCGGTGTGTGCGCCCAGGGTGGAGAACTGGTACCAGTTGCGCAGAAAGCCCCTGTTGTACTGGCCTGTGTCCACGATGAGTCCACAGAGGAGACGGCGGCCTGTCTTCTGCCGCAGGGCCTGCTGGACTTCCCTCTCGGTCACATTGTAGCTGATGTTTATCAGCTGGATGAGGAAGATGTAGGCCATGCCCGCTGTGATGATCACAGAGTACCACACGCAGGTGAAGGATAGGGCCGAGCTGCATGGGAGAAAGGAGCTTTTCTAAACGTGTCCTCTTCAGTACAGACCTGAGCATCCTCTCCAATCCCTGGCTAGAGGGTACCGTTGTAGCCTCAGAATGCCATGGCCAGTTGAACCTTTTTAATTTCCCTTTGGATTGCTAGTACATATTTTTCTAGCATGCTATATTTATCAAGGACTGTTCTATTGTACTTCACAGCACCTGACATCAGGCAGTCAGCGCCTGTTCAAAAGAATGAACAAATCCTAAGTTGTGTCTAAGTCAGGAGAAAACAGAGGTTCCAGGAGATCATTATTGCTGTCCCCTAGGAAGCTGGAGATGGAAATCTACCAACAGGGCTAATGTTCTGTCTGCTGTCTAGTGCTGACTGAGTACTACAGGACAACTCTCAGCATTAACAGCCCTTTACTGATATGTAGAAGCCAGGCTGAAACAATGGCTTGCTACTCTTCCAGAAAAGGTCAGTTCCCGGCACCCTGGTAAGTAAGCTCACAACCACTTGTAACTCCAGTTCCAGGGGCTCAGGTACCCCCTTTCTGGCTTCTGTGAGCAGCCACACATACTTGACATACATTCACATATCCGTAAATTAAATAAAAAAATTTAAAAATCAAAAAGAGCTGTAGGAACCTAACATTTCAAACCAAATCACACCAGGCTCCTTCATGAACTGTGGGCTGGGGCTGCTGTTAGAATAATCAAATCAGGTGATGTTCATTCACACATGCACAAGTCAAGGGTTAACTGGGCAGAAATCACATGGACTCTTCATTTTAAAGTTATTACAAATCCAAAACATCCCCCTAAGCTGAGAGGACAACAATCACTACATAGAGTGGGATGAGAAGTAATGGTGGGACGGGGCCCCTCATTCACCCCAGGAAGCACACAGACACTTTATACTTATTACCCTTGTGTTGGCCAAGAATTTCACAGTAACTGTCCATGTGTCTAGAGTAGAAAGTTACCACAAGAAGAAAGGGCTAATAATCTTTAAAAATCAGTCATTTCTAACCCTAGAGTGGGGAGCTCTGCCACAGACTAAGAACTAATGACACACAGGGGTGCCTGGTAGCAAAGGCAGAAACTGCTCTGAGAACAAGGAGCAAGAAGGAAGAGAGCCAAACCCAAGACTACAGAGCACCCATGCTGAGGGAAGGAACAAACAGTATGGGCAGGAAGCACCCTGGTGTGTGTGGGAGGGCAGGAAGCACCCTGGTGTGTGTGGGAGGGCAACAGCACCCTTGGTGTTGGGGGGTGGGAGTGGCAAGAACACTCTTGGTGTGTGTATAGCGAACATCCTCGGTGTATGAGAGGTATGTGGGGGGGGCAAGAACACCATTGGTATGGAGGAGTGGGAGGGGCAAGATCAACACACTAAAATCCCATTTACACCACTGCACAGAAATCTGTACAGTGTTTATAAATGGGTTCCCACCTAATGATGCCTAAGGAATCTTGACCTAGATAACACAGTAATCACGAGTGGTGAATTAAAAAAAAAAAAATTAGAGCAGAACAACCATGAGAGGTTAGAGAGAAAAAGAAAGGTTACAAGAAATATGAGCAGCTTTCAAGAGGAACCTGCTTCACACAAAACTCAAGCACACAAAACTTCTCCACTGTGGGAATCCTGATAAAGCTAGGGCCTGTGTGTGTTTAAGACAAGGTCTCTCTATGTAGCCCTGGGGGTCTTAGAACTTGACTTGTAGAATAAGCTGTCCTTGAACTCAAAGAGATCCACCTGCTTCTGCATCCCAAGTGCTAGAATCAAAGGTGTGCACCATCAGTGATGCTTCTGACATCACCCTAGAACACACCCATAACCACTGCATGGCTTTACTGGCAATTTTCAGGATGCCCAGTGTCTCCAAAGCCTGCCCTATGCTTTGATTGAAAACAGCTAACTTAGGGGCAAATAACCAACTGCCTGTTTCTGGCAACAATTATTACTTCCTGGCTGGCCCTCTTAACAGAGGGTTGCACAACTTACCTGTAATTTTCGTAAACTCCAGGACAGTAGAAGAGGGCTATGAAGAGGCTTCTATCCCTACAAATGGTGTTCAAGGTCAACGATATCCCGTACACCGAAGTGAGCAAGAAGATCAAAAGGGCAAGTATAAATGCTTGATGATTTGATTCTCCAACGCAGCTATTTATCCTCAAAACAGCAGAGGGGGAAACACATTTGAAAATGTCTCGCATAATCCACACATATACAAGAAAGCCTTTAAACTAGGGACAGTAGGAACTTCAGTTATGAGACACTAAGTCATCTTAGTTTTCAATTTAAGGGAAACAAAACCATGTCTACTGTGTGGTGAAGTCTTATATTCTCTATGGAAGAGTAGAACCGTTATCACTTAGTTTAAAACCATGACTAAGAAAAAAGTAGAACCCAGTTAATAAATCTATCCATCTTGATACAGAGCTTATATATATGTATAAACATATGTAATATACTGTACATATGCATATGTGCATATTTTATGCAGTGCTGGGAACTGAACCTGGTCTGTAGTGCATGTTAGGCAAACACTATACCATTGGCCTACACCCCCAACCCCTGTTCCTAAATTATTAATAAGTGAGGTCTATCAGAAATACTGAACAAATTGGAAAATATGTTAAGTAGGTATAAGAGCAACAGAAGCATCCAAGGCAGTTCAAACTACAGTGCAGCATAGAGAAGCAGGTCAGGTAAAACATGATCCATGTCATGGCCTCTGTGACGGCAGGGTATGCGGGCCACCTCTCCTGCCCAAGCATCCCAGGATTCCCAGCAGCCAGAGGTTTCCTACAGGACAAACTGTCAGATTCTGCAAGCATGCATTTGGAAATGGGCCAAAACATTCACGTGCACATCCACACAATGGGCATAAATGACAAACGTGTAACACTAAAAACAGCCCTTTACTCCTGAAGGCAAGTCCTAGAAAAGAGATGTCCCTGTCCTAGGGCCATGCACTCAGCCATTTCAATATCCTCCAAGCATTTCCTACACTCTACCTCTCCCCTGTTCTCTGCAGGCCTAAAGTGTAGTTCATTAGACAGAACTGCCCTGAGAGCACCACCACCTCACACCTGCGACTTACAGCATTCACAGCTGAGGGCTGATGGTCCCTTCAGCTCAGCTTCACTCAGTGGAATTTTAGATGCTGCACTTTATGTGTTAAGGACCTGATGTGGCTTCTGTAGTCACTAGCCAACTTGAAGGTATAAAGCAAAGCCCATCTCCTGGCAGATAACCAAAAAGGACCTCAACTACAATGGTGAGTGGAAATCCCTGTTTGCATAAAACAATTAAGGATGTGCAGCAAGAAAACAGTCACTGAACACAGGGACCACGTGTGCTTGCACATGAGCATGCATGTGTGTTCACTTGCATGTAGAAACACATTGATGTTGGTCTTCCTCAATCATTCTCCACCTTATTTTTTGAGTCAGGGTCTCTCACTGAACCAGCAAATTGCTAATACAGTTAGATGGGATGGCTAGCAAGCTTCAGTGATCCTCCTCCTGTCTCTGCCTTCCCAATGCTGGGATCACACACATATGCCACTGCGCATGGCCTTTGTATATGGGTAAGGAGAGAACACAGGTCCTCATGCTTGCACAGCCAGCATTTTACCAACTGAGCTATCTCCACAATCCCTGATAAATTCTTCTTTTTTCAATCAACCAAAGGAAAATCAGAGAAAGGGTGGGGGGGACCTCAAGTTTTTCAGCTAGTCTCCTTGAGAAATGACTGAAGGCACTACATCTGTGAAACTCAAAACCCTGATGACTAAGCGGGAACATCCTCACAGCCTACAAATATCCACAAGGTGTAAAACTGGGAAGGAGACATTTTAGGACAGCACAAAGGAAGATCAAACATGGATAAGCTATGAATTGAGTTTCTGGGCTTCCAGATTTTTCCAACATACCAGACACAATGATGGTCCATTCTCCTTACACAGATACCGCATATCCGGCAATGCCATGCCCGGGCAGGTCGGACTAGCTGGCACTTAGCACACCAATCCTCTTTCACCTTGGCAGGGCTGTCAAGTCCCACCCTGGAGGAGCCCTTGATATCATCCTTCAGCGTGCGGTTGTTGAGGCTCCCAGAGGTATCTGTTCCAGGGAACCCTTTGGTCTTCTCCTGCCCTTTTTTGATGGGGCATTCGATTTGGCTGTTGCTTGGGGCTTTGTCATTGCATGCTGGATTGCTGAGGTAGCCTGGATCCTTCTTGGCTCGGTACAAAGCTAAGAGTATCAGGAATAACCCGAAGGTAAGGAGAGCCAGCTGAGTGGGCCCTACACGCCCTTTGGGGACCACTTCCCGCAGGAACACGTAGTACATGTAACCCAGTGAGAACAGTCCAAGGCTCAGAAAAAACAGTGTCTGTTCTTTCCTTCTATGAGTGAGGTAGTAGTACCAGAGTGCCAGCATGGGGAGGGAGATCAGAACCACCACCCCCAGCAGGAAATGCCAGGAAGCCACGTGAAGGAAAACTGGCAAAAGCACGAGTGGAGGGACGATGCTAATATTAACTTTTTTGGCTCCTCTAAGCCAAGGAATTCGGAGGCGATCAGAAATTGTATCTGTGATTCTTTCGCAAGTCTCTGGCCGCACTGATTTACAGGAAAGCCATCTATTCAAAGAGAAAAAGAATGTGCTTCACATGGAGTTGGTGAATTAAAAACTACAGGGCCCCAGATGTCAAACAGCAGCATAAATGATAAGACACCAATAGTCAACATTTTATTTCCTCACTACTAAACACAAGCTTTTCAGACTCATTATCACTTTTTTTTTTTAAAAAAAAAAAGGAAGATGTTTATAAATGGAATGATCAGCATTCTTTCTTAAATACACAGGTATATACACATAATCCATATAAATGTCTAGACCTGATGGGTGTACACTCAGATGAATCCTTTTAAAAAATTTAAATTGACAGTGAGAATTCAAAAAGCATTAGGTAGTATTAGTATTAGATCTTCCAATACGCTCTTAAAAGCTCAGGGAACAAGATCAAAAGAGACTTAGTGGAAAGGTGTGGCTGTACTTAACCTTGATGGTCAGCTAGCAGACAAGGAAGGGGGTGTTTCAGTCTAGAGAAATGAGTGCAGTGCAAAGCCTGTCCTGGGCCCTGGGAGTGAACCCAGCTGTCACAGGCAGGAATCTACATAAGCAAGAATGAAGAACAAACTAAAGTCAGTCCAATGACTAAAAAGAATAGTGTCTGCTGACTTTGCACAGTTCAGCATGCTGTTATTTCAATGTTCCAATTTTAAAACCTATTCCTTAACACATGAGTATTAAGTGATAGGCTACTGGACATGGTGGCCACACCTTTATTTACAGTTGCATGAAGGCCTGAGGCAGGAAGATTACTGATTCTAGCAATTCAAGGTCAGAGTCAACAATATAGTGAGACAGACCTTCAGGAGGGTGGTCTTGCAAGAGGCGATTTGGTCATGACGGGAGGCCAAAGGAGCTTATTAATTCTTCCACATGAACATGCGGCACAAAAGCACCATTTATGAAGCAGATGGCCAAACTGTGTTCGTGTCCTAGTGTTTTTTAGAAAGTAGGATTGCAGATCAATGGGACTGAATATTGAGAGAAGTCTCTAATCGAAATGTTCAGGGTGCTGCGGTTTCTCTTCCATTCTTATGCTCAAGTGTGAGTAAAGAAGTGAGAGGCTAGGGAGACGGCTCAGTGGGCAAAGTGCTTGCTGTTGTACACACATGAGGACATGAGTTTAAGATTCCCAGCCCTGTGCAAAAAGCCAGGGATGATGATGATGTGCATTTGTAACCCCAGCACTAGGGAGGTGGCGGTGATCTCTAGAGCTTACTGGCTGCCCAGTCTACCCAGTCAGTGAGCTGCAGATTCAGTGAAGAGACCCTGTCTCAAAAATTAAGCTTGGGAATCTGTTGCATAAGGCATCTGACACATCTTTGGCCTACACATAAATACAAACATAACAGTAATGATAAATGATGACTTTGGGGGCTAGGATGATGGCTCAGTTGGCAAAGTATTTCCATGACAGCAAAAGGATTGAGTTTGGATCCCCAGCACCCATGTAAAAATCTGGACATGGGGCTAGCAAGATGACTCAATGGGTAAAGGTGCTTGCCACCATGGCCGATGACTTAAGTTCAATTCTCAGGGTCCACATGGCAGAAGGAGAGAACCAACTTTGGCAGGCTGTCCTCTGACCTCCACATGAAAACCATGGGATATTCATGTATATAAAGGCACATACGTTATAAAACTAGAGAGCCATGGTGGTGTGAGCTTGTAATCCTAGTGGTACACGGGGGAGCAGCAGACAGAAAGACTCCTGGAGATTGCTGGTCAGCTAGCCTGGCCAACTGAGGAGCTCTAGGTTCAGTGAGAGGCACTGTCAAAAAAAAAAAAAAGGCAGAAAAACAATTCAGAAAGACACCTGACACCAACCACTGTTCACAAGGAGCACACAGGTGCACATACACATACTATATATACAACACACACACACACACACACACACACACACACACACACTGACATTAAAGACATAATGTATACAGCCAGGAAGTGGTGATGCATGCCTTTCCCAGCACTCAGGAGGCAGAGGCAGGAAGAACTCTGTGAGTTCGAGGCCAGCCTGGTCTACAGAGTGAGTTCCAGGACAGCTAAGGCTACACAAAGAAACCCTGTCTCAGAAAACAAACAAAACAAAAACAAAAAAGACGTAATGTATAACTAAAGAGGAAACAGAACCCGAAGATCTGGAAAGTTCTTGGCCTTAGCCTGTCTATACAATAACAGCTGTGAAAGCCTGTGTGGGTGAGTCCATTATAAGATCACTATGGCTCAGCCCTGTGCTATGCATCAAGACAATGAGAGGATGGTCCTTAAAGCAGCCCTGAGACTGAGGCTGCACTCCTATTGTAAGCCTAGTACGCTTGGGCACTGAGGGCACCATGGTTTCATGGCTCAGAACACCCGTGAAACCTCAAGGCTCACTGCTGAGTACCACATCTCTGCTTCTTACATTCTGGTGTAGTGTCTCACAGAAACCCCAGGTGTCTTTTGCCCTGTGGTAATGGGACCTGTTATCCCGTTTTTCTTTCCCATTTCGCGTTTTTTGCTATGGGAGTATCTTTTCAATGAATGTGTTTTGAAAGTATGCAGTCACTATTTCTTTTTTATTTTTAATTATTTTATGTGTACTTGTGTTTTACCTGCATGTATATATGTGCATCATGTGCATGCCTCATGTGGATGTTAGGAATTGAACCCTGGTCCTCTGCAAGAGCAAGAAATGTTCTTAGTCTCTCTTCTGCCCACAGTCTGTATTGATAGGCAGGAAGCTGAAGGACACCACATGAGTCCTTCATGAGTTTTACCTGTTTCTGATTGAGGCAATGCCAGTCAGACCACTGTCCATCCGGACTTAACATGTCTGTGCTGATACTTGCACAATTAAATATTTGAGGTTGCTGGAATGTAAGGAACGTATTTGAACGTGAAGACATTAATTTGGAGGGGGTAGGTAGACTGCTAAGATTTGAGCATTTATGGCCTGCTAAAATTAATTTAGTTCAAACCTAATCCACAATACAATCTTATTAAGAGGTTGGGCTTTGAGGAAGTGATGAAGTCAACAGGGTAGAGCATGAATGAGCTTAACATCCACACAAAAGAAAACCAGGGAAGGCGGGTTATTCATCCCTTTTGCCATCTGGGGACGGAGCAAGATGGCGCCATCTATGAGGAAGGGTTCACGCAAGATATAAATCTGCCAGCACTTCTGACTTTAGATTTCTCCACCTCCACAACTGTAGGCCATCCACTTCTATCACTTCAACCCACTGTGAAGTATTTTGCTGCAGAGCCTAAGTGAACTAAGACAGGCAAGAAAGTTAGGGTAGGTGAGGCAAGAGTAACATTAGACAGTTGTTTTAAGCAAGACGAAACCTTAAAGTGAGTGGGAGATTACCACTTGGAATCACAGGGCATCTGGGACAGTGGGAACTGGGAGGCCTGTCCTGGGGTGTGGGGAGGTAGAGATAGAGGAGAGGGGAGAACTCAGAGAATAGCCCAGGCATCAAGGGCTAGGAGAGACGAAGAGTCAGCAACGTTAATGGAAAAGCAGCAGTCCTGAGTGACAGCCATTATGGAAACAGCATTATTTCTCCATTCATTAGTGCAAAGTGTTCTATTTTCTCAGTATGGATTTTAGACTAAGTCTAAAAAAGCTATATTTAACACTACCTATTTTTAAAAAATATAAGACTGTAGAAAAAGACAAGGAACAATTATAAAGATGTTTTGGGCTTTAAGAGTGAAGCTTGACCAAAGACTGCCGTGGTCCCCAGGGAAAGCTTTTTCATGGCTAAATTAACAATCTACAGTAAAAGTGACTTTGTAACCAGAAGGGACTGCTTCTCGAAAAAGTCTGTCTCCACATCCCTCTTCCTCTCACATTATGCTTTCCATAAGTAGATGTTTAAAAATATATATTTATAAAAAATGGCTAAAACAAGATCATTGCCACTTGATACAAAATGGTTTTCATTGATGCTAAAAAGTCTCCTGGTGGATAGCAATTTCCAATCACTGAGATAGTGGCGAAAGTAAAGGCCAAAGATAAGATAATATTATAATCAAGATGGTATTGTTGCTTACATAAAAACAGTCACACTCTATGGGGTATATAAGACCTTTCTCCTCGGAAATAAGGGAGAGTGGAAAACCATCTTCCAACCTCCAAGACCCATGTGACCAAGTGAGAACGATCCCTTGCATGGCCTCCACTAAGATCACTGGGAATATAACAACTTTCTGGAATGTTCATTTAAACTTGCAGTTTGGGCTGGTTTGTGTTCTTTAATACATTTAATTTGCCTACTATCTTATGTTCTGAGTGTTCTCCCCAACCTAGTCCTTTAAAGACTGTTCAAGTCCTCATGAATTGACCTGGACAGCTGCAGACTGCTAACTACCTTATTTTTTATAAAATTTTCACACATCAAAAACAATTCTCTATTTTAGATCTTTTGGAATAGAATCAAGAGCAAATCCTAGCATTCTGGATGGCAACCTGAAAGAATATAGGGTGGGTCTCAACAGAGCCAGTGGGGTGAGCATCTGGAAACTGTATGCTTACCTGTCACAGCCTTCATCGAGGTCTTGACAATCACACAAACAAGCAGCCACGTGGTTCTTTTCCCCATTTCGATCTATATACTCACAGCAGCACAGGGGCTCCAATTCAGGTTCTTCGGTTTTCTTTTTCTTTACTGGCTTCATATTGCCCTTGAGTGTTTGCACCTGTCACCATGAGGCATAAGAAGCTTTCAGAAGGTAAAGGTGGCAAGAACTCAACTCACATCCTGGTAAACACGTCCTCGCTTGTGATTAACGCCAACGCCTGAGCAATAAAAAATGAAAAGAAAGGGGGGAGGGGTCCTGTTTCCATCAGGTTTTTCTGGCTCCTCATGGCCTGAAAAGGGGGCTCCTTGACTCCTGGAGCTCCTAGTATCTTCACCTCCCCTTCCCGGTAAGGATAGCAGCACCTGGGTACCAGCCGTTCCCATGGCGACAGCCGACCACGCGGCCCGGGACAACAGGGCTAGGGCGGCCCAGTTCACCTGCGGGTGCCGGCTGGGTAGAGCCGAGCGGTCCCCACCCCGAGGCTGTGCGCCGTGGAAACTCACCCTCGTAGGTGCAAGCAGCGACGCCCCGGCGCTGAAACCATCCACCCGCCCCCGGCTGCACCCACCCCCCGCCGGCCCCCAGCACCCCGGCCC